CTCAAAAGGAGTCTTGTATTAAATTTTCAAGTTTTATTGTTTCAAAATTTAAGTGGTCTATAAATAATTTWAAAAAAAGTCAAAAAATTTTGAAAATTAAACTATATATAGATAACACTAACATAAACATTTGGTGAAAATTTCAAGTATTTACAGTAATTAGTTTTTAAATTACAACCATATAAAAAAATTCTGGTATAACTAGTTATGATACCATATTAACCATATCATGTTTAGTTATTTGTTTTTGCTATTTTTAGATATGTTCAAACATTTAAACCGTAATTTTACAATCACTTACATTTTTGTTCTTTTAAGGACATTTAAATCTGGGCCCTAGTTAAACACCTCAAACAAAATTCATTTTATATGCGTAAAYATCTACAATTTTAAAAATATATAAAGGTTAAGTATATGTATATAATTTACTTCAATTATTTGTATTCCATTAMAAAATTTAGTCTTTAGAACCACTGAAATTAATAATCATAATAAATGTGAATAAACATTTGCATATTATCCAGAACAATGATACATTTGCTTTGAAGTTTTTTTTATAAATAAACAATTCCCAATATTTAATTAATCAAAATAATACAATTTATTAAAATAAATAATCTTACTTTAAAATAAATAAATATATTTAATGTTAGGTGCATATACATTACAACTGTATACAACACAAATTGAACATTTTTTATACCAGTTATTAACAGATATAAATTACATTTAGATACTTTGTTAGTAATTTAACTAATTAAGTGTAAGTACCTAAGATTAAACATTAAATGGCTTGAATGCTTATAAGTAAAAAAAATTATATAAATAAATTTAATTAATGTAAAATAATAACTTATAATAAAATAATATATAAAATTGTACTCAACTAAATAAATAATTTATGACTACATTTTCAGTTACTTATTATGTAGTAAAAATAAAATTACAACATAACTGTATGAACTGAGTATAATAAATTATGTCATTAACAAAACACGAAGCGCAAAACGATTATAAAGTCCATAAAAATAACTTATTTGGGTATACATTACATTTAAAACTATAGCAGCCTTTATATGAAATGAATTRATATTTTAAAAATGGTAAAAATTAAAAAAAAAAACATAAAAATATGTTTGATAAATAATTTATATTTACTCTGGAAGACAAAATAAAAATCTAATTTTGATTTTAAATCAATTAGTCGGCATAAAAAAATATTTATATAACCGTGTCACAATAAAAATAAAACTAGCCTTTAAACATTAGTAGGAAATCATTTTGAAACTAATATTAATAAAGTCTGCAGGAAATACTTCAGACTAAATAGCTTACTATTATAGAAAGTTCTATTTAACATGAGTGCTGTTTTTACATATAAAAGTTAAGTATTGGAATTCATGAATCAGTAAACAGAACTAACTTTATATAATATTAATTGCAAAAAAATTCACTAAATATATAAGGGAAGTATTATTTTTAAATAAACTACTAGGACTAATTTTTGTAAATGTTTAAATAACAGTTATTTATTATTATTAATGGTAATATTCAAATCATAAATAATTTAAAAAAATTAAGATCTTTGTACATGATCGTTTTACAACATTATGTAAAGTTAAACACAAATGAGCTTTTGACTTAATATCATAATAATATTATATTTATTAAGTACAATTTAATGTATGTATAAATAGTCACAAAATTATTTATTTTTACTTCATACAATCTAAAATGGGATCAGAAATTCAATTTCATTTTTTTTTTTAATTTAATAAGTAACTTTGTAAAATATGTATTTTAGATGTTGTATAGATCATTTAATAGTGAATAAAGCAAAATACAAAAAAAAAACAATAAAAATAAAAGTAAGTAAAATAATAATAAATATTAGTAAAAAAAATTCGCGCCTTTAAAAAAAAATTAATGACAATTAAAAATCAATAATTAACACGTGATAAACTCTGATTAACTACAAGTGTTCATTTAATATTTATATTTTTGGATCGTTCTTATTACTAAAATATTGAGTAAATACCTTCACATTATAACACATTTGTCGTTAGTTTGAGGATCGCCCTAAAAAAATATTTAACAATTATGATTATAACAAAACAATTCATGATTTATAAACAYATTACTTAATTTTTATACTATGAAAGATGAATCAATAAACAATAAAGTATATAAAATACTATTTTTTAAATCCAATACATACACCTTATATATCATTCAAAAACACAAATCCACAATACACACATTTATATAAATTTTTTTACATCATGTTCAACCCTTATTTATTAATAACACATTCAGAAAATAAGATGTACTATTAACAGTGGCGGTTCATGGGATGCTTAGAAGGTGTGCACAATATTTTCCCCTTCCTATTATCACAACACAACTACTACCCCTCTAATTTATGTTAGTAGAACTAAAATATTATATTAAATTTGTACAAAACAACTTTTAATGAACACTTGTGCATAAGATTTATGATACAACAAAATATATTTATTTTTAATAAAATTAAAATTATGAAAATGAAAACAAAAAGGCCATTAAACCATATAAAAATATAATCTGGGCACTAATTTCAGCAATGCAATAATAATTCCTATCGACGAGTGAGAAAAATAACTACTGTTAATCAAGCATGATGATTGATARCAATGTACCTTCTCCTTGGTACTCATAAATTATCAATGTCTAGTAGATAAGAATGCATTTTTTGTTTCAATAATATTACCAAATATACTAACTAAATATTTTGATAGAATTATGAAAACAATACATTATAAATTAATGTAAATATTCTTGAATACATTTATTTCAATATTTTAGGTAGGACTCATGCCTGTGTTCCTGATAAACAATTTTTTTTGTAGATAACAGAAAATTTAGGTGTCATAAAAATATACGAAAAATATATTTTTGTTTAATTTTCATTTACGAACTGAATATCTAGGTATGGATAATAATATTTGTTTATTTAACCCAAATTGGCATTTYTAATAAAAAGTTTTTATACCAAGAATAATATTAGAACTAAATTTTCTATATTTATATTATTCATTAAATTGTTCATTTCACATAATTATTCACCTACTTTAAAACCAATAAACTATCATTATTATTATTAATATACCAAAGGGACCAAACCGGAACCAGAAATGTAATACATTTATTTTTTAAATATTCACAATTATTTTTTGAACACTTAAATTGTATACATATTAGGTAAAATAGTTTTTACTACTTACTGGTTGATGGAACAATTCTGTTTCATAATCACCATATCCTTCATTGGCTCGTGAATGAGAAACCTGTCCTTTTTTAAGTTCATGAGTTGCTACTTCCTAAAAATAAATATACCACAGAATGTTTGTTTTTATTTATGTTTAATAAAATAAATAATATTTATAGTAATCAAATAACCTGTCCCTCAGGATTCAAAAGTATTGTAGCCATAAGATCACCAACAACCCAAGCTTGAATATTCATAACAATAGATCCAGCACTAGGTTCGTGTATTTGATTACTGGCAGTAGAAGACCATACGGTTAACCAATTACCAGCTCCTAGTTTTACCGAACGATGAAACTTGAATACAGTAGAAACATTTTGTTCAGCAGTAGTGCGCACTAATTCATATCCACTCAATGCAAATTCCTAAATCATTAATTTAAAATTTATTTCTTGATTAACATATAATTTGAGTATTTAATTTTTACCTTTGATCCTTTGTTGTATAACTTAACAAACTGTCCATCAGGGCATACTTCACAAATTTCAATATCTCCAGTTGATGAAGCTGTGATAACATTAGAAAATTCATATTCTGTTTCATCACGTTGAAACAATTTTCTTTTTTTGCCTCTTGGACTGCCAACAACTGACGTATTTGGAGTAATGCTTAACCTTCTTTCTTCACTCTCTAATAATTTTCGATAAGCACTGATTTCCATATCCAGTGCAACTTTTATATCCATTAAGTCTTGATATTCTTGTACTTTTAGCGACATATCATCTTGCATAGCTGTTAATTGTTGATCTAGTGCTTGAATTTCAGACATATATTTAGTTCTTTGAAGGTCTTTGGATCGCTCTAAATCAGTAATTTTCCTCTAAAAGAAAAAAATAATTATTCAGTATTTAATTAGAATATAATATAATAAATGWATATACCAAATAATCATTATTAGAGGACAACAAATCATTGATTTGTTGGGTTAATTCATTAATACGTGCATTGCCCGCATTGATATCTTCTTGTGCTGCTTCCAGAGCTTTTTTCTTGCGTTGTAATTCATTTTCCAAATTTTGAAACTAAACAGGTATTYAATTTTATTTTAAAATATTTATTAATTATAGGTATTATTTTTAATAAAATACTTATTTATACCTTGCTATCAAATAAATCAGAAATTTCCTTTTTGTTTCGTTTAACATCTTCTTCAGCTTGTTGTCGTAGTGTTTGTAGTTCAGATTGTAATTTATCTTCAAACTCTTTAACTAAACGTCCATCAACTTCAGTAATTACTTCAGTACGGCGGCTGGTTCTTGTATCATTAAGTTGTTGTTTATGAACCTATAGAAAACATAAGTTTTTAATGCAAAAAATATAATACACCGGGTGATTCT